TTGTCAAATTTGAACACCATTGTGCTTGTTGCAAATATCCAGTCCAAGGAGGAAGAGGAGAAGAAAAATGAAACTGTCCTATCTATCAGGGAGGCTTTAATCTCGAAGAAAGCTGACTCCAGAGAGCCAGAGCATGATCCAGAAAATGATGATTCTCCTGAAGATGAGAATGAGGAGGATTTTGACAACAGGATGCGTTCACGGATTCTAAAAAAACGTAGAGAGCTTGGGGATATTCAGCAGAGTCAATCTTCCAAGAAAGGTAATTTGCTATTCCTGTTTCTATTAAGATGGCCATTCTCCAGTTCAGTCATTTACTGTGCCATGACAGACATAATGAGAGGCAGGATTATGTAACAGCTACTTGCATTCTTTTGGTTGATGTCACATGATTGCTGCATATAAGTTGGAAAACTGAACAATCTGTTTGCCCCTCTTTGATACAGATAAATCTCATCAGAAGGATAAAGAATTACCAGCTCACAGGTTCTATTATTATGTCTACCTTATCTACCTTATCTATATGTTCCTTATCCTTCTTCCCTATGCACTGTGATTTTCTTCTGCAAATATCTATTGGTAGTTTAGTTCAATGTGGTAGGTTATCATTATGATGTTTTGATCAACCAGAATATCTGTTCTTGTGAACAACACCATGTAGGGCCTGTTCTGATCTCCTCCCAACTCCACCAACTCCACGATTCCAGCTTCCCATCCCAGCTTCTCACTCCACGCAGCGAGACAACTTCGTTCGGCAGCGACCGCTGGCTTCTCCCATCGCCAGTATGGGCTGCAGCATGGGTGGCCTGCCTTAGCGCCATAATGGGCCAGCAGAACTAGCCCAGGTCGGCCAACGTGTGGAAACAGGTAGCGAATCGTTATGTTTGGTGGCTGGGAACGAGCGAATCGTTATGTTCGGCGGCCAGGAGTGAATCGTTACACTTGGCGGTGGCATTTCAGGTGTAATTTGAGCGAACTCCAGCTTTTGGTTTCGGTGGAGCTGGGTCGATGCTGCTTCAGTTTTTTGCACTGCATGAGTGCTCAGCTCCGAGAAGTTCACTCCGTGGAGCTCAGGCGTTCGGGGCGACTTCACGTGTGGAGTTTTTGGAGTTGAGAGCTGGAGAGAATCAGAACAGGCCCGTAGTATTCCTACATGTCCTTTTAGTCCTGAGCTTTTGTTTAATACTAAGCGGTAGTTTCCTGAAAACTCATTTATAAGTCTGTTACTACTTGCAAGTATTCATATCTGGTAACAGGCAATAAGTTACCCGGGGACATAATATCACCATTCTGAATGACAACAAATTATGTGATCTTTCTAATATTGTAACATAATCCTATTGAAATTACTTTTCATCGGCTTGCCATTATGATAAATAGTTTAGTTCTGCATATTGTGTGGTCACAATTTTTCTTGGTAGCAGGGTTACCATGTGTCGAATATAACATGTGGTAATCTAAACATAAGTATCTACGTCATGCAGATACTGGAAGAATGGTCTTGTGTGTGTTTGCATGTCTGAACAACAACAACAACAACAGCAACAACAACAAAGCCTTTTAGTCCCAAATAAGTTGGGGTAGGCTAGAGTGGAAACCCAAAAGATTTCGAAACTTGGTCATAGTTCTTGCATGTGATGGCTAACTTCAACACATCCCTGTCCATGGTTAGTTCTTTGGTGATATTCCAGTCCTTCAGATCTCGCTTTACAGACTCCTCCCATATCAAGTTTGGTCTACCTCGACCTCTCTTGACATTATGCATGCTATATCCTTCCGCTATGCACTGGCGCTTCTGGAGGCCTCAGTTGTATATGCCCAAACCATCTCAGACGATGTTGGACAAGCTTCTTTTCAATCAGCGTTACCCCAACTCTATCACTATCACGTATATCATCATTTTGGACCCGGTTCTTTCTTGTGTGGCCACATATCCATATCAACATGTGCATCTCTGCTACACCTAACTGTTGGACATGTCGTCTTTTAGTCGGTGAACATTCATCGCCATACAACATTGCAGGTTGAATCGCCGTCCTGTAGAACCCTCCTTTTAGCTTTTGTGGCATTCTCTTGTCACAGAGGACGCCATAAGCTCGGTGCCCCTCATCTATCCAGCTTGATTCGATGGCTCACATGTTCATCGATATCATTCTGCAACATTGACCCCAAATGTGGAAAGGTGTCCTTCTGAGGTAACCATCTGCCCATCAAGGCTCCTCCTCGTGCCCAGTAGTACTGAAACTGCACCTCATGTACTCAGTTTTAGTTCTACTAGCCTAAGACTTTTCGATTTCGTCTGTCTCTACAACTATAACTTTCTATTAATCCCCGTTTTATTGCCGTCGACTAGCACCACATCATCCGCAAAGAGCGTACACCATGGGATATTTCCTTGTATAATATCCCTTGTGACCCCATCCATCACCAAAGCAAAAAGATAAGGACTCAAAGTTGACCCTTGGTGCAGTCCTATTACTGGGAAAGTCATCAGTGTCGCCATCACTTGTTCGAACACTTGTCATAGCATTATTGTACATGTCCTAGATGGGGGTAATGTACTTTGTTGGGACTCTGTGTTTCTCCAAGGACCACCACATGACATTCCGCGGTATCTTACTGTAGGCCCTCTCCAAGTCGATGAACACCATTCTTAAGTTGTTTTACCCACATGAAGTTGGAGAGGGCCTACAGTAAAAACACTTCGAACTTTAAGCAGCATTCTGCTATAATCTACTCCTGCAGTTGCTCCTGATTTTATTAACAACATGTAGGTAATCTAGTTTAGCAGTTATTCTCTGAATTTGTTAACAATTTAAATGTCCACAGGAGTGATGACAACGATGATGATGATGACGAAGACGACGATGATCATCAATTATCAAAATCACGGAAACTGTCTTTGAAGAAAAAAGGTATTGGCTCTGAAGCCAATACTGAAAGGATGTCCAGAGGAGATGTTAATTTGCAACTGCTAAATCCAGCTGAACAAGAGAAACATTTGAAAAAACAGAGAAAACGCAGCCTCCAAGGCCGTGAAGAGGAGGTATTATTTTTCTGCTCTCTTGTGTCCACCTTCCTTATGCCATTTCATGATGGATCATGCATACTCATATTCCAGCTGGCATCTCTTCTACGTGTCAGCTTTTGTTCTTGAAGTTGAGTGCCTAACTGTTTCTTAAACATCAATTTTTTCCGTTAGACTTTAGCAAAGTTACAGAAGTTCAAGGCTTCCTTGATGAGTAATAAGCCTGCTAATATGGAAAAAAAGGCAGAAAACAGTGAGGACTACAAAGAGTGGCATGCCAACCGTCTCACTTTCGCACCTGAATCTTCGAAGGTACTGGTATCCTTGCGGCTCTTCTTTTTCCCGCGCACACAAGGGAAATAGATGCATGAACCTATTTTATCTTTATACAGGATGGTATGACTAGGAAGGATGATCCAAATGACTATGTAGTGGTTGACCCTCTTCTGGAGAAAGGAAAACAGAAGTTTAACAAGATGCAAGCGAAGTTAAAGAAGAGAGATCGTGAATGGGCTGGCAGATCTCTCACCTGACCCCTTTTGAGGTGCGTCTGCTAATCTTTCCAGTGACAAATAAATTGGATGGTAGTAGTACCGAACAAATGCTTTGAGCCTTTTATGTAGCTTGCTTATTATCGTACCACATTGTAGCGTTGCAATATATATAATTCGTTGTGTCTCAGATAAATCTTCTCAGTGATAGTATATCCTTCTGAATTTCTCCCACTTCTCGTTGACTAATTAACACCCGCCTCCTTTTGCCCCCAGAGTTGCATGGTGCAAAAATGTAAACCGTCCTACCGTGCAATGCCGCTGCTGCAGTTTTGGTGTTGAGTTGGAATCGGAACCTGAGCATAACAGATGCAGGTTCGTAATGGTAGAGTGACCACATGTGGACTGTCTGTACCAAACTGTAAATAGCAATTGTAGAATACTTTTTAAAAAAAAAATTGAGAAAACATTTTGATAACTTACCCTTTAACAAGGCAACGTTACTGCAACATCTTCAGATGCATCCTGTCGCATGCCATGCGCATTAGCCTATCATGTCAACTCTACTCTAAAATGGCCAATGCTAGGCGCCGCCGACCGGCCTGGAGCTCAGATGGGTCACCCCGTGCGCCGTCCGATAGGGGCAGTCATCAGCCGTTGGATCCTGCACCTCAGATTTGATCGGCAAAAAAGAGCAAACGAGAAATAATCCCACACATCTCGTCCCCTGCTCCCACCGGCGCGCACGGGGTGCCACCCAACGCCTGCAGCAGCTTGCCGTTGCCAACCACTCATCAGCGCACTCGCTGTCCCTGGTCTCGTTGCTGCAGACCTTGCTTGGCCGCTCCCAGTAGTAGCGGCCTTGTTCATAGAAGCACCTTGCCTTGCCGTTTCCAGTGCCACTCGTCGGTCCCAGCATCAGGTCGCCGTCGCAGCACCTTGCCCCGCTGGTTCACCGTCTCAGCGCGCCTCGCTCGTTGTAGCACCTCTGTCCATCGGTCCCAGCAATCCTCGCAGCACCTGTGGTTGCAGCGTCCCAACCGGCCGCTCCTAGCGATGCCGTTCATCCCCGTCGCCCCGTTTACAGGCTTCGGCCGCCCTTGGCAGCACCTTTCCAACAATAGTTTACCCTGGTTGTCTTGGAGAAAAAGCAGATGATGTGACGGGGTCGGATGATGCGTTGCTCGGGAAGGAAAAGAGCACCAGTGGCATGTAAATTCAGTATACAGGCCCAAAAAAAAGAGAAACATTCTGAATCGATGGATGTACAAAGTTTGTGAATCAAAATTATGAGCCAGCACTGCAAACATGTCAATGTTAAGCATGCTAGAAACTACATACACCAAGGTAAAGTATTTTTAACCTCAAAAAGAACGTGGGCATTCATAATGCCCCTCTCCTCTTGTACAGTAATTACTTAAGCTCACTCTCTATCTGAAACGGAGCTAATATACAGACAACCCTGTGTATGTGTGCCAATGCTAGCTTTCCGCCGTTCTCCACAACCCCGCGTCAGCCGTCGGTGAGCTGACCCCTTCCTGCCCGTTCCCGTCCCCATGCGAACTGCTGTCGCCAGCAGGGACGGTGGCGCGCGCCTGGTTGTAGGCGATGCCGAGGTTTCTGAGCCGGTTGAGCTCCGGCAGTATGACGGTGCCGAGGTCCGGTCGGTCCCTCCGCCGCATCTCCGTGCAGTTGAGCGAGAGCTTGGCGAACCCCAGCGCGTCCTCCACGGGCCAGTCCTTGACGGTGATGTCCAGCATCTGTGCGAAGGTTCCGGACTCGATGGCCTTCTCGACGTGATGCGTGAGCCCCATGGGCGGCCGCGCGGTGATAACCTGCAGCAGCAGCACGCCCAGAGAATAGATGTCCGACTTGACGCCCAGCTTGCCCGTTTGCTGGTACTCCGGGTCAATGTAGCAGAAGGTGCCCGCCGTGGCCGTCAGCCGGTACTGCGTGACGCTGTCCGCCACCGCCGGTGGCACGAGGCGCGCCAGCCCGACGTCGCTGATCTTGCTCACGTAGTTGCGATCCAGCAGGATGTTGGCCGGCTTGAGGTCTCGGTGCACCAGCGGCTCCGGCTTGGTCTGGTGAAGGAACAGCAGAGCCGTCGCGATCTCAGCCGAGATCCTGAAGCGCTGGCTCCACGGGAGCGTCGGCGTGCCGCCGCGACGGTACAGGCGGTCCTCGAGGCTGCCGTTCTCCATGTACTCGTAGACGAGGCAGCCGTACTCCGGGCAGGCACCGAGGAGCAAGACCATGTTGGGGTGGCGGATGCGGCTGAGCACCTCCACCTCCTGCTGGAACTGCTTCCGGCCCTGCTGGGCGTCCGGGCGGAGCACCTTGATGGCGACCGGAGTGTGGTCGAGGCTGGCGCTGTAGACGGGGCCGTAGCCGCCTTCCCCGATCTTGAGACTCTCGGAGAAGCCCTCGGTGGCAATCTCGATCTCGTCGATGCTGTACTTGCGGTAGCGGAAGTCGTGGTTGGCGATGGCGTCCAGGGCGCGCACCTTCTCGTCGGCCTCCCGGCGCGCGCGCACCTCGGCGTTGCGGCGACGCTGTGCCTCGAGGTCGGCCAGACGCTGCGCGGCCTCGGCAGCCTCCATGGCGGCGCGGCACTTGACCTTCTCCATCTCGGCGAGCGCCAATGCGGCCTCCTCCGACTGACGGGCCTCCTCCAGGCGCCGCGCCTCCTCCATCTTGAGCAGGTGCATCTCCTTGGCCCTCTGCTTGGCGTTGATGGCCTCCTTGCATGCTGCGTTGTACATGTCCATGGTCTGCTTCAGCTCCAGCTTGAGCCGCCTCATCTCCGCCTCCACCTCGCGCTGGGCCTTTTTTACACGTACCAACTAATAAGCTAAGCACATGCATGCATGGATCGATCATGCATGGATCGATCTCGACGGGAAAGGAAGGAAGGAAGCAAGCAGGAAGGAAGGAAGGTAGGAGGAACTCACGGCGGAGAGGGGCGAGCCGGGCTCCCGGGGGCTGAGGGGGAGCGCGTCCATGTTCTCGCCAAAGTCCATGGAGGGGAAATGCACGGCCTGTGCGAAGTCAGGGTCGAGGCTGGATGGGTCGTGGGAGTTGGAGCGCAGCGTGGTGCTGTCCATCCTTGCCAAGAGGAGGTGGGGCTTGGTCGCGGACGCCTGCAGGGGCCGCTCGCGGAACGGCGGGCGCGTGGTGAGCTCGGGCCTGTCGATGGAGCGCCTGCTGGAGGACAAAAAGTCGGGCAAGACCGGCGGCAGCTGGCTCCTGGAGCTCCTCCTGGAGTAGGTTGCGAGGAGGAAGTCGCTGTCGTCGGCCGGCACGCCGCACTTGGCGAGCCTGACGTTGACGGGCTTGCCCTTGGCGACCACGTAGATGTTGCAGTAGTCGGGCGCGCCCTTCATGAGGCTGGAGGGCACGTCGGGGTTCTTCCACTTCTTGGTGAATGCGTTCCTGTTGGACGCGCCCAGCGCGATGCTCTGGATCTTGTTGGCACTGATGTAGTCTATGATGGCCTTGGGGACGTCTGCCTCTTCCAGTATCACCTCCGATTCTTGCACCTGCCACGTACGCACGTTCAGAAACCTATATATGCATGCTACGCTACGCTACGTGCTTGATGAGTGAGTGATGCATGCATGCATGCATGGCTTACCCCATTCCTAGAGCAGAATCCTCTGAAGGGGACAAAGATCTCCATCATTTCAGCCTCCAGCGCGTCCTGCGTCGTCTCAGCCATGGCAAATCCATCTGCGCAACGACAACACCATCGCTACGATTGTTGCACTAGCTTTATGGCGGGAAATTCCCTCAAAAAAAGCTTTCATGGGGGAAATCATTAAGAATGATGTGGCGGAAGAAAGTTACGACGTACGGTTGGCTGCAGGAGGGTGGGCCGCCACGTGGAGGAGAATGATATGGGAGGCGCCGGAGAGGAGGTGGTCCACCACCCATTTCATGGCCAGTTGGCTGTTGCGGTCCCGGTCGATGGCAACGACGATGGTCGACGCCGGCTGGTGCAGGCTCGGCGGCGAGGTCAGCCGGTGCTCATCGGGACTCAGGGGGCTTCCCTGCATCATCGGTTCCACCGGGAATGGATGCCGGCGATGCTCCGATCAGTTGGATGGATGCCAAATGTTACAAGGGGCGGCCACCAAGAGAAAGAGAAAGGAGAGGCAGAGAGGTTGAGGGAACGACGGAAGCGTCCCTTCTCCTCCTCTTCCTCCTGCTCCCTTCCTTGCCTACAAAGATCCTCCCCGTGCATGCCGCCGTTAAATGACCTAGGGGGCGAGGGGGTACCAGATTAGACCAGCACATTTGGCTATTCTTGCACGCTCCCACTTTTGGCACCCGGAGAAGCTTGACCCAGACCAAACCTAAAATTAAACCATGGCCACTTCAACTATACAAGATCCACGCTTTACTCCACTACTAGGCATAGGCAGAGGCAACACATGGCAGGTGATATCCCCCAACATCTCTAACTATGTTATGTACAACTACAAAACTGTACACTTTCTAGATTTCTCGCAGACTAGTCATCAAATGGTTTTACAAGGTCAGGTAGGTCCTGATCATTGCCGAACCAGTCGGGTCCGAGAGGAGGTGTCTGACGAGGTTCATTCGCAAAGTGTTTGGCGCAATTGCAAACATGTAGAGTGCAAACAGCATGAGATCCGCTGACGAAAGCGTCGAACCAAGGAATCCTCGCGACATCCTGTTCAGGAGATCGATCCATCAAAAATCACGCGCAAGGAAATATTTACTTGTTCAAACTTTTTCTATCAATGGAAAGATACGCATCCTTGCGTATTGTATTCTCGAAAAAGGAAATACTTAGTCCAGGGCCTGAAAACAAGCAGTAAATGCATCGAGCGGGCATAATTACCATTTGGGTAACCGGAAAAAGCTCTCGAAGAATGTTTGAATGCCTTCGTTATCCAGTTGAATTATCAAGGCCAATCCAAAGAGGAAGAATGAGCGCTGACGTTTCCGTTCTTGAGGCCATAGTGTTCCCCATGCTGAAATATCAGACAATGGTTAGCAGCAGATACTTCTGCTCATTTCTCCTATTCTGCAAAACATCTTTAAGTGATTTTATTCTATCTGTTGGATTTAGTGAACAAGGGAAGAAATCTGTACCAAGCATTGATGGACTGGACATTTCAGAACTTCCAGGCAAATATTGTCCAGAATAGACACGATTTCGTAAGATATCAGATATCACAGAAGCATATCTAGGAGCTTCAGACAAAGATCTGACCACCGAATATCCTATGAATTTTTTTCTACAATATTGTCAATATGTATGTCAAATAATAAAGAATGACGAGTTCAAGTTGAGGATTTGTATGTACCAGTTGCAGGATGGACCATACTCGCTGCAGCACCAAATGCAAGATTCTTCTGGTCTGTGTTAGGTAAGGATCCTCCAACAGGAATATAAGACCACTCCTGAGATCAAGACTCAACAGAAATTCAGCACACCTGTGCAAGATAAACCAGTATGGATATCAACTCCAAACTCGTTACCTCCTCGTATACTTTTATGATACGAACTCCCATCGCATCCAACCGAGACATCAACCTCTTCTTAAGGAGATCAAAAGGCATTGCATCTTTTGAAGCTAAGCATGTTTCCTGTGATAAATTATCTTGGTCAGTGACCTATCCTTATGGAAACGTGTCCATTGCAGAAACACGCTGCTAAAAAAATATTCATGTAGACCTCAAAGAAAACTCGTGTAGATGACATGGCCATGGCATAGAGAAATGTTGGATTGGCTTCCTCAGGGTGTGTGAACTTCTCTTTGAAACAATCTCTGTAGTCCATGAAAACCATTAAGCTGGGATCGTACGGATATCTTTCAACCTGAAATTTTGACATCATTCTGAAAAATTGAACTGGTGCAGAAACAACCTATGAATTTCTCAGCTCGAATGACATGAATGAAGTGACATGCAAATCATGAAATAAACCACGAATCAGAAGGGGCACTTTGTGCAGGGTTGGTGTGTACCTCGACTTCTACACCGTATGCAGTCTGCACACAAACACGTGGTCCTCCAACCTCATACTCTAGAAGTTTACCAGATGCTGCTCCAGATGCAACAATGGCAAGCCTGCAAAGTATCTTGCGGCCCCTTCCACAATATACCACTCGATGTCCATCTGGAGATTCTTTTATCTGTTCAACCTTTGAGTTGAGGTATGTAACACCAGCTTCATTGCATCTGCCAATTGTTTAATTATCATTACTAGAAACAATCATATATATGATGCTGCCTGACGCGACTGAATTCCAAGATCGAATGTACCTTCTCAGCAACTCCTCGTGCAGCAAGTCTCGGTCCACCCGGCCATATGCTCGGCCAATCATTATCGGCTTGTTACGGTCAAGGTACACGACAGTATCCTTCCATACATGCTCAATACAGCTCTCCAGGCCGAGATCTGGGAAATAAAAAGATAAAAACGTATCACTTTTTAAGATAATGCTGGTAAAGATGTTATCCAAGCATGGTGCTGCATTTCACAACTGCGACTAATGGCTACCTTTGAATTCGTCCTCCCATACACCGTAATTGTTTGTGAATGGAAGATCAGGGCCAATGAGACCAACAGTGAGTCCTTTCTTTGCTGATTCTGCAGCCAGAGATAGGCCGGCTGGACCACAGCCAATGATAACCAAATCAAGCACTGAAGTTTCATCAGCTATAGGCAACAGCTGCAAAGAAAGATTCAGAAGACATAATCAACTACTTGAAGGATGCTACCAGACAAAAAATTGTTAACAAAATGACGATGAACTTCGAAACTTAATTAATTAACCTTGAAGAAAAAGAACTGTACAGAGTATCAGTAAAAGAAGGATTGAAACATGTACACAATGACGTTTGTAACCCACTAAGATCCGCGTCTTGCTATGTAGGAATTATTGAAAGATATACTTAGTGAAAGGGCGTTGCCAAAGAAAGCAAGTCAAAGGCACGACCAAAGACATGTCCCTAAGGAGCAATTAATTAACGCAAGACCAAATACATTGTGTACTCTTCTCCTGCCAGGAAGGCAGGAATGACAAGCATGGGCGACCCAAGACTATTCCTGCTTTGATTTGTCAAAAATGAGCAACGCCATGGTAGTACTAGCATGACGTGCATTTGAATGCCACTTGCGTTCTACTCCCTCTATATCCAAATATAAGCCCCCTTTGGATGGAAGCGGATTTGTAGCACCCGGTTGCTTCACACCCCTACACGAACATTAAATTCAAAAAAATACCGAGAAATTTGAAAAAAAATCTAAGATTTTGGGATATCAAACTTGGGTTCGCGATCTACTCCCGCGTAAAATTTCGTGAAAAAAATACCAGGAAAACTATTCGTGGCGAAAAAGACAAAAAATTTCTATGTATAGAAAAAACTGTTTGGATGGATTTTTGTTCGGATAGTATTTCCTTCGCCACGGATATGTGTGCTGGTATTTTTTCATAAAATTTCACACAGGAGTAGATTGGGAACCCAGGTTTAATATCCCCAAATTTCAGATTTTTTTGATTTTTTTGGTATTTTTTACGTTTAATATTCATATAGGGTGTGGATCACCCAGGAGCTCCTATGTATTTTCTGCCTTTGGACACTATAATAGTGTCAAAAGGCAGTCTTATATTTTGATACGGAGGGAGTAGTATAGTATACAATAGTACCCAGATTAATTTTTGCTACTGTGGTGCTTATGGGAATCCTTCATCTTTCAAACAGTCTAATGTTACTACTGTACATCGCAAGAAAGAAACAGACTAATGTTAGGGATTTTAATTTTATTCGCCATAACGCTGGAAGTTCACACAACGCTAATTGGGGGAAAGAATCACTTGAGTACTAGAGTAGTATATTCAAGATCAACAAAACATGCATAGAAATCAGCAATTAAATAAGGGAATAAAACAAAGAACAAGATACCACTAGCAGTAGCAGATTAGCGGTAGCAGTACATAAAAGGATAGAGAGAGAACCTTGGAGGCGATCTTGGACTGGCTTTCCATGGCCTTGGTGGCCTGCATTTGCACGTAGAGCAGCTCACCGCCGCCGCCCTTGACGTAGTCCTCCTCGTCGGCGAAGTCTACCCCCAGCCCCGGCGCCGCCTTCTCGTCGGGCTTCTCCGTGGCCACACAGCTCGCCTTCAAGCTCCTCCACTGCTCCGGCCCGGGGCCCGGACCCACCCGCCTTCTCCTGGCATCGGCCGGCCGGAGAGGCCGCTGCCCGGCCCAGCGCAACGCGCGGCAGCCGAACGGCGCCGAGATGGCAGCGCCGGTGGACTCCATTGCCCCCGCGGTGGCGCAGGTTCAGGGAATTGCGAGGTGGCTGGCTGGCCGGAAGGGGAGGGAGGCGGAGAGGCTAGCTGCCTAGGGAGGAGCGGAGGAGGAGGAGGGAGTGCGTTGTGGAGGGAGAGGTTTTGGAGAGGGTATCCGGGATATGGCACGTGGCAGACGGCGATTAGGCGCGGCCGCATGGAACACGGATATGGTTTCGCTTTTGGGGAGGTGCCGAGGGCGTGACTCCTCCCTCCCGAGACTAGTCGAGCGAGAGCCTCGTGCCCTCGTCGCCTCCGTGTCCGTGTCTGCCTCACACTGTGTGTGTACTGTGTAGTACTAGGCCGGATGGTTCTGGGCTGCGGAGGAGATGAGCTTTTTGAGCTAACGTTTTGTATCGATCTTGCCCTAATTCGATCTCGATCTG